TGTTCCAAGCGATATAGAAACCTGGCCGAGTATGTTTCGTTCGTCGGTAAGAGCGTGTACATTCCACTAATAACGATCGGTGGCGTGGTATAGAAGAGCCACATCGCGTAAAGACCAACTGAAATAAGACATTTTTTTCTCATCGCTTTATGATTTTTAAACAGAAAAAATATAGACTGTTTATATTAAAATTTAATGAAAATTTAAATCTAATTTTCAAAACAAAAATACCAAGTATTTTAGTCTGTCTATATATATAATAAGTTTATTTATAATAGTTTGAGAAAGATAAGATGCAATAAATTAATTTGAATAAAAAAAAATAATATTGTTAGATTTTTGATACTAAGTCTATATAAGAAAAATTTTTAATTGCTATAAAATGCAGTCAACTCACTCGCGTATCGTGTTGTGAGGATTTTGCTTTCCTCCGCATAATGCCGTAATATTTCACTCTGTGGTCCGTCGTACATTTCTTTCCAAGTCTCTTCGATATGCTCCAGAAGCTCTTTCATCTGCAGCTCGAAGAAATTGTGCGGTTTTATACAATTAAACAAAACGAGTCGAGTAAATTGCCGCACAGCGAAAACGTAACGTACGAACTTTGCAACTGTTACTGAAACTGTTGACTAATTTTATAATGATGAACAAGTTCACTAACAATGGCGACGTGTTCTCCATGATGATGCTCAAATCCGTAATCCCAGCTAGCAGGCCCCAAAACTGCGGAAAATCAGACCCATCAGTTTCGATTCTAACCGTATGCCGTTGTACGTATCTTTAACCACCTCGAGGGCCGTCAAACTGGCTAAGAAAAACACCGTAACGGCGAACATCGCGTTCTTCTTCAGCCGCGATTGAAACGGCCATTGGCCGATAATGCACAGGGACGTTTTGTTGAAATTATAGTAGTGATTGTTGTAAAAAGACATTTTGTTATAGCAGTAGTAGCAAAGGAATATTCTACGAGACACAATCACATATCTCGTCGAATATTCACACCTAATCGCAGTGCTTATTCCGTATTCTCTTGGAAGCGATTTCTAAAAGAAACGGAGTGCAACGAAAAAACGACGCTCCGAGGTAATCCACAATTCACGTGAAAGCAAAACATTACATATTTATAAGTAACGAGTCGTATTTTTCTTAACTCTTTGTAACCGAATGATAAAATGTAACTGCGACTCGACATGCTATACCCTTCGCGTTATAAAATCAAGATAGTACTATAAGATAAAGAGTAGTACGAAATGTGAGTTTCATAATCAACATTCCAATTATTTCACCTTCAATTTACTGCACCTCTTTAATTACTCGTTTAAAGCTAATCGATGTCAGAGGAATTAATTTTACAATGTGTAATCATTTCACGTGTAATTTGAGCGATTAAATATGTAGAATGATAAAACTAATCGATGTCGGGGGAATTAATTTTACGACGTGTAAGCATTTTTATATGTAATTTAAGCAAAAAATATGCAGAGTGATTTTAGGGTAACTGAGTTGAATTATAGCTCTTTCCTAAGTCAAGATAGAAAATATTCTTTCATGTTTTTGTCATAATATCGTTAAGTTGAAGTTAGTAACATTAGAACATGCTGTTGTAATGTGTTCTTTTAAGTAACTTTTTAAAAATAAATTCTTGCAAGCACACGTTATTCTTTAAAAATCCATATAAGAAAAAATCAAGGCGATTATGTTTATTTATAAGTTTATAGTTTATGGTGAAATTTTAAATACCTTCTGAAGAATTTTTGATTTTCATTTTCCTAACGTAACTGTATACGGTAAATTGTGCCTTATCCGCTCATGTTACTCACTTTACATCAATGATATATTTGATATATACCAACAGACGATATATAAATCTTTATTAAAATGGATTGAAAAAAAAAAAGCTAAATAAGCTTGTGTACGTGCGATATATGGTATATGAATATTTTATTTATCGAATATATTTCACTCTTTGTAACAAATATAAACTTGTCTTATATACATTCTGTTTTATTTTTGCTTGTATTTTTTTAATCTAGTTTTTATTCAGATAAATGCAGAAGATGAAAATATATTACATAATCTAGTAATTCTGAAAAAATTACGTACATTTATTTATCTTGCACTACTTGTTTTAAATAATTATGTATTAATAATTTATAATTACTTGATTAATAAAAATAATAAATAACATATTTAATAACTATGGCAATAAAATGATAATTTTTACTTATAGAAAATTAAAATTTTAATTTATAGAAATAATTAATTACAATTATAGAGAAATAATTAACATAAACAAAAAATTTTTAAGAACTTGTTTGATTGCATCAGAAAAGTGTTGAATTTATGCGTTTATTACATTTGCATAACGATTAGGCTAAAATAATAATAATATTCACAAATTTTTAGTTCACATATTTCTATTATAAATCTATAATTACAATTTTTATTGTATTGATGTAATCATCGTGAAGTACGATACGGATACTTTCAAAATCTGAAAATATGAAACGTAAAGATATGTTTTATTATAATTATGATCATACAAGTAATATTGTTACAATAATGTATCCACTTACCGAGCTAAGGTTCTCCATCGACATTATGAACATTTTACCAGCTTCTATTTGGCACGGTTTAGTAGTACGCAATAATGTGAATTTCAGGAGATGCCTGGATCTCAGGGAAATCCTGTACCAATCGCAGCTGTAACTGATAATGAATTCATCACATTAATTTTTCATACAATTCTAGTTTTCTTTCTATCAAATGCGACACTAATATTTAAATGTTTCCAATGTTAAATATCTCTACATATAAGATATATAAATACAGATAAATTATTATATACACATTATCGTAAAAATGTTTTTTAATCTTATACATCTTTTTTTCAATTTAATGTAATTTGTTTACAAAGTTTTAGAGCAAAGGTAATTTTAACAGTGCTGGCATACAAACGCTTACATTACTTCTTGAAGTTCGCTACTGTGATCGATCAGTCGTTGAGACGTCATACTCAAATTGTATATGTGTAACAATTGCCCTAGATTAACAGCGAGAACTCTGATCATTTCGTCCAAATGACTCTCCATTATTATCAACTAAAATTCAGAACTTTATTAAACGTTTCTAAATAATAAGCACAAATAATAATATTAATTAATATTAATAATAATAATATTAATGAAATTTTGGAAACTTTTGAGAATATTAATTGTTACACAATTATATTATCAAAACTTTACAAATTTATTTCAAATATTTACCTTAGCCGCTTCAAAGCTTAAATTCACAACTACGTTTCCTAGCGTAAACAGGAAACATGTTGCGTATGCAGATGAGAGCAGATCGGAAAATCTTTGCGTAAAACAATAAAATAGATAGTCACTAGCTTAATTAAATTATACAAAGTTTAATATTATTAAATAATATATGAAAAAATATATATATATATTAAATAAATATATATATATATTAAAGTTTAATATTATTAAATAATATATGAAAATATATATATATATTAAACATAAAATCAATAATTAATTAGCCATTAGCATCATGTTGAAAATATATATTTTTTCGTGAGCATTTTATAAGTTTCCGTAATTGTTACTTTCAACTTATGTAAAACGTATTTAAAAACAACACTATACATATATATATATATATAACTTTAACTAACACTAACTTTAACGCATGTTTATACAATTTGACGCAATTGATTACGTCACGATATGCTTCGTCGTCCGCGATATTCGGGTTGAGTATCACAAAATCCGAACCTTGTATACGCTCTACGTTGTATCTATTTTATAAAAATATAATTTTTGTTAAAAATATTGGCCTATTATAGATATTTTTGGTATTGCAGCTTTGTCCGTGCGAGCAATTTACTTTATGCACTTGAACAATGCACAGACATGCAGAGTGCAAAGAACGAACAAGCAGTCGACAGCTATCACTACAGAGACTACGCAAAATATGCTGATAAACCCGTTAAGTATTAACAGGTTGTAATATTTGTCCATGTCGAGAATGTGTTCCACACGATACAGAAATCTAGCCGAATAAGTTTTGTTCGACGGTAAGATTAAATGGATTCGGTTAACGACGATCGGCATTACGCAACAGATGAGCCATATCGAGTAAAGACAAACTGGAATTATTTATTCTTTTTTTCTTCATATTTTTCTTTAAAAGCGACGATAATTTGATGGATTTAATGAACGATTTTTTTAATATTAAAAGCTCAATAAAAGTGAGCGTAAATCTCAGAATAAAAAATACCTAATAATTTAATCCATTTGAAACACAATAAACTCGTAAACAAAATTTAAAAAAAGGACAAAATAAGAATTTATTTTTAACAGTTTATAAACTAATAATTTTATCAAAATAGATTCAAAGCGACATCATGAAGTAGTAACATTTTTTTTATATGTACATATATTGCTAAATTTGCGATGTTAAATGTTATGATAGCAATTGTTAATTTTTATAAGATAATAGCAACTTACTCATGTATCGTACTGTGAAGTTTCTGCTCTCTTCTGCATAAAACCTTAATATTTTATTCTCAGGTCCCAGGTGCATGATTTTCCAAGTCTTTTCAATACGCCTCAACAAATCTTTCATCTGCAGTTCGAAGAAATCATTCGGTTTATAAAAGGATTTAGTTAGCTTTGCGCGCGGTAGAATATAACGTACGAACTTTATATTTATTACACCAAGAATTCGTTAACTTTATAATGACGAAATTATTGATTAGTAACGGCGGAATATTCTCCATGATGATGTTCAAATCCTTTATCCCGGCTACCAAGCCCCAAAACTGCAAAAAATCAGGACCATCATTTTCCGTTTAACTGTATTGTTGTCGTGTATATCTTTAAACACCTGCAAGGCTATCAAAATGGAAACAGACAACACCATAATGGAGAACATTACGTTGCCCTCTAGTCGCGATTGAAACGGCCATTGGCCGATAATGCGCTGGGTTACTTTGTTCAAGTGATAGTAGCGATTGTCGTAAAAAGACATCCTGCAGTGTATAGACGGAGGAATACTGTACGAAACGAGCAAATATCTTGTCGTATATTCACATCTAATCACAGAGCTTATCACGTATTCTCTTGGAGACAAAAGTTTCAAAAAGAAAAGCAGCATCACGAAAAACGCTGAGATAATATTCTACAATTTTGCGTAATAGAGCATCATATATTTACAAGTAAAGAATCATGTTTCTTTTAACGCGCAACTCTCTTCGCAAACATGAGCTATAACTGCGATTGACGTTATAGTATAGTCTTATTTTTATAAATCATCTGTAGTTTCTGAAGTTATAAGATAAGAATATTACGAAATATACGAGTTTTAGTATTGACGGTGAGACTATTTTCTTTTCTAAGTTAACATTTTTATTTATAATAAATTAATTAATTAAATATATTTCGACGTATATCATTAGAGATAACAAAATTATAACTATTCGTAGTTATTCTTACAAAATTATTGGCATAACTTTAAATAAGATTATCTAAATAATAGATAATGTCATTTTTTCGTCCAAATATATTTAGATCTCACTGATGTCTATTTTTACAAAAATATTGAATACTTTGTAATTTCGAAAAACTTTTTCAAGATACTGCCACGTATAAAGTTATTTAAATACTAATTTACGGTTTAAATACAAAGTTATTTAAATCGTAAATTATGATCAAACTTTGAATACTTTTAAATAAACTTTTCACTTTCATTATCTTATATATATTCGTAACTGTATATGGTAAAGGATTTGTTGTTCACTTGTCATTCATCGGCATGAATGATGTACCAATTGGTGATACCACCTGGTGGTACCATCTTAATATCCAACGTTCAATAGACATATAGACACGTCTATGGGTATAATTTCTATTCCATTTTTCAAATAAATTTTTATTTTTTGTAATAATTATTTTTTATTTATAATTTAAATTTGTAATTTATTTTATATATATTCTATTTTATTTTTATTAAAACTTTTAGTTCAATGTTATAAGGTCGGAAAATTCATATCATTATATTACTCAATTTATTAAATAAATGTTTAAAAATGTATATGCATATAATATTTGCACATTTGTTTTAAGTAATTATTTATCTAATTAATAATTGTGGCAACAAAATGACGATTTTACATCTGTATTTATTATTACATTATGATTATATTTTGTGTAAAAGAAGTAATTAATATCAATACAAAATTGATAACAGAAACATATTTCTTCAAAAACATATTTCAATTAGTGCACTAGAAAAACGTTTGATATAATTAATTATATTTAATATATATAGTATATGAAATGAGAACAACAATGATGTTGACATGTATTCCCAGAGGCTATAGATTTATAATTCCATTGTACACCTCGAGTTACGATTTTTATTGTAGTGATGTAAGCATCGTGAAATACGACATGGATACTTGTAAAATCTAAAAATAATATCGCAATGTTTTATTTTTTATATAATTAATTTTTATACTTATATGATTAATTATAATAATAATTAACGAAGTAATATTATATTTACACGCACCGAGCTAAAGTTCACCATCGACATTACGAACATGTTACCAACTTTTATTTGGCACGGCTTAGTAGTACGCATTAATGTAAATCTCAAGAGATGCCTCGATCTCTTTGAAATCTTGTACCAGTCGCAGCTGTAACTATTAATATATTCGACGTATTAATTTTTTACATCATTTTTGTTAGCCAAAATTTATGACGTTGGCCATTGAATTTTTTCGAGCGTTAAATGAACATATACACTGTTAAATCTATTGTGTCAAATTGAACCTTATTTAAGTCGCCACTGCTCCTATTTAATAAATAATTATTTTTAACTAAATCAATATAGTTACTTTTGAATAAAACAATAGAATTTAATCCAAATTTGAGTTAAATTTGAACTGTCTTTAATTATTTAACTCCATTGTTTTAATAAAAAAGAACTATTTATTAAGTAGGAGCAGTGGCGACTTAAATAAGGTTCAGTTTAACATTATAGATTTAACAGTGTAAAACAGCTGAATAAAATATTTTATATTATATTTTATATAAAATATTTTTCTGTAATTTTACATCTTTTTGATTTTATTTTAACTTGACTATATTTTTTTAGCACGTAGATGAAATATTACCGATTAACGAATGTAATTGAATTACGTACATTGCATCTCGAATTCCGCTGCTGTGATCGATCAATCCTTGAGAAATAAAACACAGGCAATATATGTGTAGCAATTGCGCTAAAGTAGCAGAGAGAATTCTGATGTCTTCGTCCAATTGAGTGTCTACCATTATCAACTTAAATTACATAACTTTATTAGGCATCCCCCAAATAAGAAAGCAATCGTTTAAGGTTTTCATATATATTTATCTTGAATATTTACCTCAGCCGCGCCGAAGCTTAAGCCTATAATTACATTTCCCAGTAGAAAGAGAAATGATGTTGCATAGTTAGACGAGAGCACATCGGAAAGTCTATGTGTGAAATAATTAAATATAAATACTTTAGGCTATTGAAATAAACTTAATGAAACCTGTAAGTGATTAAATCCAATATAAAATTTAACATGAAATTTATTTAATTTTGACATGAATATGAAAATTAGATATTTTACAAATATTTTGTGAGTTCTGTTATACTGCAAGATGTATTAAAAAGCGACATTGATACTAACTTTAAGGCACGTTTGTAGGATTTGATGCAACGAATTATGTCACGATACGCTTCGTCGTTCTCAATATTTGGCTCGATCAATACGAAATCCGAGCTTCGTATGCGCTCTATGTTACAGCTATTTAACAGAAGTGTAATATCATCGTTCTTGAAAAGAGATCTTGATGGAAAGCAGAGCTTTCTTCGCGAGAGCAACTCACCGTAGGCATTCGAACAACGCACAGATATGCTGAGTACAAAGTGAGAATGTAGTGTCGGTAGCTATCGGCACGGAGACTATGTAGAATACGCTGATAAACCCGTGTAGCATCAATAGGTTGTAATATTTGTCCATGTCAAGAACGTGTTCCAAGCGATATAGAAACCTGG